ACCAGGCCTCCTGGTGGATCAGCCCCTGATCAACCAGGCTGTTGCTGCTGGCTGCACGCAAACCAACGTACGAGCCACAGCCCGGCTGATCAGGAACTGACTTTAGGTGCTTGTCCAGTGCCAGCTTGAAGACTGCCAGGGGTCTGTTGGTAATCCCCCTTATGTGTGCTGGGAGGCAGTTGAACAGTCTCGGGCCCCTGACACTTATTGTATGGTCTCTTAACGTGCTAGTGACACCCCTGCTTTTCATTGGGGGGATGGTGCATCGTCTGCCAAGTCTTTTGCTTTCGTAGTGAGTGATTTTCGTGTGCAAGTTCGGTACTAGTCGGTACAAGCAGCTTTATATATAGTAGTAGTACGTCATTGATGTCTGCTAGGGCTGTATACCGTGTAAATGTACTTGTAGTAAATAAAGATATTATATTTTTTTTTTTCAACAAACCAGCCGTATCCCACCGAGGCAGGGTGGCCCAAAAAGAAAAACAAAAGTTTCTCTTTTTAAATTCAGTAATCTATACAGGAGAAGGGGTTACTAGCCCCTTGCTCCCGGCATTTTAGTCGCCTCTTACAACACACATGGCTTACGGAGGAAGAATTCTGTTCCACTTTCCCATGGAGATAAGAGGAAATAAACAAGAACAAGAACTAGAAAGAAAATAGAAGAAACCCCAGAGGGGTGTGTATATATATGCTTGTACATGTATGTCTGATGTGACCTAAGTGTAAGAAGTAGTAGCAAGATGTATCTGAAATCTTCCAAGTTTATGAGACAGAAAAAAGACACCAGCAATCCTACCATCATGTAAAACAATTACAGGTTTTCGTTTTACACTCACTTGGCAGGACGGTAGTACCTCCCTGGGTGGTTGCTGTCTACCAACCTACAACCTAGGAGATATTATATTATTAGCATTATTATTATATTACTAACACATTGGCCATTTCCCTCTGAGGCAGAGTGACCCGAGAAAAGAAGAAACACTTTCATTATCATTCACTCCATCACTGTCTTGCCAGAGGCATGCTTACACTAGAGGGTCATTCCATGTCAAGTGGACCAATTTTGAAAAGCGTCCCTACCTGTCCAACTCCAATTTCGATAAGATTTTACATGACGACTGGCATGTATATCAAACTAACTCTGGGAAAATTTTAGTTAGTGATGTGCAATAGTAGTAATGCTATGGCCCTCAGAGTGGTGGCAAGTGAAAATTTCACTGACCCGCGGTACGTAATCAACAATATTCTGGTTATTGATGACAGATCTTGAAGAGTAAAAGTTGTGTAAGCAGACATGCCTGTATAACTTTTGGAGCTGATTTAAAAAATTGCAGTCCTAAAACTTGAAGGCTTTTACTTTTTTCACAAATTAGGCAAAAAAATCTGTTGCATAAAATCGAATATTGAATTCAGCTGCCTATATCTCTAAAGGAAAACATTATTTTAGTATTTTAGTATTGTAGCCAGCTATCCAATGTCATACTAAAATAATGTTTTCCTTTAGAGATATAGGCAGTTGAATTCAAGATTCAATTTCACCTGACAAATTTTTTGCCTATTTTGGCTTAATACTGTGAAAAAAATGTAAAAGCATACAAGTTTTAGGACTGCAATTTTGGAAATCAGCTCCAAAAGTTGTAAAGGGGTGTCGTCTATTTACACAACTTTTACTCTTCTAGATCTACCACAGTAATAACCTGAACACCACTGACTGTGTGCTGTGGGTTGGTGAAATTTTCACCTACCTCCACTCAAGGGCCATAGCATTACTACTATTGAATAGCATGAACTAAAACTTTTCCAAATTTAGCATGACATATATGCCAACCTTCTTGTACAATTTTATCAAAATTGGAGATATCCAGGTGGAGACCCCTGGTCCACTTGACATGGAATGGCCTTACAGTTAAAAACCTGCACATATCAACATCCCTCCTTCAGAGCACAAGCAATGTACTTCCCACCTCCAGTCTGTCTAACTGGTTTCCCTGAATCTCTTTATAAATGTTACTTTGCTCACACTCCAACAGCACGTCAAATCATAAAAACCATTTGTCTCCCCACGCACTTATCTAACATGCTCACGCACGCATGCTGGTAGTCCAAGCCCCTCACACACAAAACCTCCTTTACCCCCTCTTTCCAACCTTTCCTAGGTCTACCCCCTACCCAGCCTTCCTTCCACTACAGATTTAAATGCTCTCCAAGTCATTCTATTTCGTTCCATCTTCTGTAAATGTCTGAACCACTTCAACAACCCCTCCTCAGCCTTCTGGATAATACTTGCAGTAACCCCACAATATATATATATACAGTGGTCCCTCATTTATCGTATTTAATCCGTTCCTGGAGGAGCTACTATTATCGAAATATACGATTTTTGAATGAATTTTCCCCATAAGAAATAATATAAATACAATTAATCCGTTCCTGATACCCAGAAGTATTAACACAAAAATTTTTTTACATGAAATATAGATGTAGTACATAAACAATACAATGGGACATGATGAATGAAACATTAACAGCATAACACTTACCTTTATTGGAGATTCTTCTAAGTGTATGGGAGACTGGAGGAAGAGAGAGATTGGATTATTTACAGTTTGGAATGGGAATCCCCTTCCAGCAACACCTCAGGTACCAATTGCTTTTCTGGGGTTGCTTCTCTTCTCTGTTTCTTAATGCCACTAGGGCCAGCTTGAGAGTCACTGGAGTCCTGTCTCGCACAATAATTGTCCAGAGAGCTCTGTTTTTGGTGTCTCTTCAACACTTCCCTAAAATGGCCCAAGACTTTGTCACTGTACATGTTGCCAACATGGCTTGCAACAGCCTTGTCAGAGTGATGTTTCTCCATAAATCTTTCCATCTTATCCCACATTGCAAAAATCTCCTTAATTTCTGAAGAAGGCACCTTCTTCCATCTCTCTTCTTCCTCCTCTGCAACAAGATGCTGAGTTGCGATCTGTTGCTCTTCCTGCTGAAGCTCTTGCAGCTCCTCAGTGGTGAGCTCTTCGTTGTGGTCTTCCACCAACTCTTCCACATACTCCAAACTCACATCCAACCCCATGGAACTCCCCAGTGCCACAATAGATTTAACAACAGACATAGGCTCATCAGTGTCAGTCCCAAACCCTTCAAAATCCCTCTTGTCGACACAGTCTGGCCACAATTTTCTCCAAGCAGAGTTCAAAGTCCTGGTAGTCACTCCCTCCCAAGTCATACCTATAAGGCTTATGCAATGGAGGATGCTGAAGTGTTCTCTCCAAAAATCTCTTAGGATCAAGTGAGTGTGAGGTCACATTCAAGCACCTTTAAAACATTGCTTTGGTGTAGAGTTTTTTAAAGCTTGCAATGACCTGCTGGTCCATGGGCTGGAGGAGAGGAGTGGTATTCGGGGGCAAGAACTTTACTGTGATGAACCCAAACTCCTCGAAAATTAGGTGATCCAAGTTTGGAGGATGAGCAGGTGCATTGTCCATTACTAGGAGGCACTTGAGATCCAATTTCTTTTCCAGGAGGTAATTCTTCACACTAGGGCCAAACACTTCATTGAACTACTCGACGAAAATTTCCCTTGTGACCCATGCCTTACTATTAGATTTCCAAAACACACACAATTTACTCATCATAACACTGTTTCTCCTGAACACTCTGGGATTTTCAGAATGGTACACTAGTAATGGCTTCACTTTGAAATCCTCACTAGTATTAGCACAGAACATGAGCGTCAGCATGTCTTTCATAGGCATGTGTCCTGGCAGCTCCTTTTCCTCCTGTGTAATGCAGGTCCTCTTTGGCTTTTTCTTCCAAAAGAGGCCTGTTTTGTCACAATTGAACACTTGTTCAGGTTTCAGTCCTTCAGCCTCTATGTACTCCTTGAATTCATGCACATATTTTTCAGCCGCTTTGTGGTCCGAACTGGCAGCCTCACCATACCTTACCACACTGTGTATGCCACTACGGTTCTTAAATCTCTCAAACCAACCTTTGCTGGCCTTAAATTCACTCACATCACCACTATTTGCAGGCAATTTCTTTACCAGATCGTCGTGCAACTGCCTAGCCTTTTCACAAATAATCCATGTCATAACACTATCTCCTGCTAATTGTTTCTAATTTATCCACACCAATAATAACTTCTCAACCTCTTCGAGTACTGGTGATCTCATTTTTGTCAGCATATTTACCCCCTTTGCAACAACAGCATCCTTGATTTCCTTTTTCTTGGCCATGATGGAACATATGGTTGTGTAGGGTTTGTTATGCATCCTGGCCAGTTCGGCCACACTTATGCCACTTTCATATTGTTCAATGATGTTTTTCTTAAATTCAATTGTATTTCTCACCTTCTTTACCAAAGGCTTGGCACTAGGAGCTTTCTTTGGAGCCATGGTAGCTTATTTAGTACTTGCAAGCACTAAAATGAGTGGAATATTATGAAATATTTTGTAGGGGCACGTGAGGGGACCTTCGCTCACTGGTAAACAATGCCAGTCTGGCTGGGTAGGGAGGCCGCCCCGGCTCACACCGTGCGTATGGGTCCCGGACGACCTACTATTCGCGAGTCAATCTACGATTAGCGAGCCCATGTTTATACGAAAATATCCCTATGATTTCCGAAATCTATGACTCTCGAGAACTACGATTATCGAGGGACCACTGTACAATGGTACCTCGAGTTACGAACTTAATTTGTTCCAAAAGGCTGCTCAAGTGCCGATACTGAGCGAATTTGTTCCCATAAGGAATAATGTACATTAGATTAGTCCATTTCAGACCCCCAAAAATACACTTACAAAAGCACTTACAAAAATACACTTACATAATTGCTAGAGTTGGGAGCTGTTTGAAACTCGAGGTACCACTGTACTATGTATGCATACAGTATACACACTGTTTCGTTGTTTATTCCAAAATCCCGAGCATAGCAGATTCTCTATATGTATTACACAATTTTTAATGTAATCTCATAATTGAGTGGCATAACTAATACTCACCTGAAAGATGCCAGACCACCTATGACCTGAGCAATTATCTTGAGAACTACATGCAGAGGGTTAGCACCGACCTCCACATATTCCTCTAGCAAACTGTATGGGCAAGCAGTGGCAGTACCCCAAGACTGGCCCCACCATATGGTCATCAGGAAGAGGTAAACAGCATAAGCATATACACCATAGTTGTCAGCAACTGGAATCAGGAAAGAGTTAAATTACCTTACTCAAATATTTCACATACACTACAGTATTTTGCAAGCAAATTTGCAGTTAGGTACAGTATTTTACACACTTTCAGTGAGTGAATTTGTTACATATTGTATAATAATGAATAAAAAATTTATTATACAGTAATTATATTTGTGAGAATTTCTGAACTAATAGGGGTCACATAGTGTCTGGAGAAAAGGGGGTAATCCAGTTTCATCCACATAATGTGAAGGGTACTTCCAATTCTTTGGATCAAGACCCCTTCACAAGCCTAAAGTAATCCTTCCCCCTAATGAAAGGAGTATGCATTAAAAATAAGTTCCATTACTGATTACCAGTGGATGAAATTTAGTCTGCGAGGAGTAGAAAAAAAAATTGGGGGTTGAAGAGTAACGCTATTTACAAAATGTAAATACCTAGAAATAATTTTTAAATATGCTGTATTAATTTTGATAAGTGTTAACTAAATTGAATGTTATATTGCAGTTGAAGAACTGAAAGTTGAGATAAATAATGAATCTATAATATAATGAAGACTAGGATTGGTATACAATGTTCTATACTATCTGTACAAGCAGAGTACATGGTAGAACAATTTTCAAATGAAAAGGAGGGATAAAGATAAGAACCATAAGTATAAACAAGTTCACTCTAAAAATTATTGGAGAATAAACTGTAAAACAAGATAATAAAAGATGTCTCTAACTGTAGCAGAAGTGATACCTTTACTAAGAATGTTTCACATCAAGATCACACTTTTTCCAGTCTATAGGGAATACATGGTAAACATAGGTACATTAGTTGGGAGAGCAGGTGACAAGGAGCTGCAAGGTGCTCCCCATTGCAAGACACTGAGGGCAATTTTTTAGGGCTACACCTTGATTGCTGCCTTAAATTTCAGATCTATAGTCAACAAATAGCCAAGAAGGCATCCAAAACAGTAGGCATTTTTTTCAAGATATGGTACTATGTACCCCAAACAGAACTACTTACACTATACCACTCTCTAATCTACCCTTACCTCACCTATGGTATTTGTGCTTGGCAATCTACCATGACCAATCACCTTAACCCTTTGAGGGTTTTCATCGTACTAGTACGTCTTACGCGTAGGGGTTTTTGACGTACTAGTACTCATAAATTCTAGCGGCCTCAAATCTAGTGGGAGAAAGCTGGTAGGCCTTCATATGAAAGAATGGGTCTATGTGGTCAGTGTGCACAGTCTAAAAAAAATCCTGCAGCACACAGTGCATAATGAGAAAAAAAAAAACTTTGACCATTTTTTTTGAATAAATCAGCGACTTTGCAGTGTATTTTCGTATGGTATTTATTGATGTATTCTAGTTTTCTTGGTCTCATTTTATAGAATGGAAGACATATTACAGAAATAGAGATGAGTTTGACTGGTTTTACAAAGAAAGGTGCCTTGAAATTGAGCTCAAAGTAGCAGAAATGTTCGATTTTTACCAAACTTCAAAAGTAAACAAATCGTGCCAAGCGTGCAATACACGTCAACTGGTGAGTCTAATATTCTTTCACAAGTGCACCAATAATATTTATACCATTTTTTACACTAATGCAGTAGTCTGCATAACAGTAAATCTTATATTTTTTGTGAAAATAAAAATTCAAAGTGGAAAGCAAAAGAATATAAGAGGGGCCTTGAGACGTGAATAATGACTAGAGGAAATGTCATTTTAGTGCCAGGAATGTCTTTCTTGTTTATTCTGGACCCTATTCGGAAATTGGCATCTTTTGAAATTTGTGTGAAATTGGCAAAATTGCTAAATTCTGACCACTGTACTGGGTAGTTGAATTTCATAAATGAGTGGTTTCTTGCACCCATTCGATAGAAAAAATGGAGTTCTAGCGAAATATTCATGTTTTTTGTCGACTAGTACAGTGAAATTGGCCGAAAATGGGGCTCAAAGTTGGCAAAATCGCCGATGCGTAAACATCGCCGAGACCGCTAACTTTGCGAGAGCATAATTCCGTAAGTTTTCTATCAAATTTCAAACTTTTGGTGTCTTTATGATCGGGAAAAGATTCTCTATCTTTTCATAAGAAAAAATAATTTTTTTTTTTTTTTAAATTTGGCCGACCCTGAGAACGAGTTTCGGAGAGGGCCTGTCGACCCTCAAAGGGTTAAATAAACAAACAGTAAACAATTTTATTTCTTTGCATAGGTTACGATGTGTGAATGCATATAAAGTGTGTTGATGGGTACAAAGAAAGCTGCAGTGTGTATGATCACCAATTCCTGCACCAGACAACACACCCTTCCACTCTTCATAAGTTTGAACTTACTATACAAAATATGCACTCCTATCATTGTGCCTACTATGGTGGAACCTCTACTTTTGAGTTGAATCTGTTCTGTGACCTTGCTCGCATCTCGATTTGCTCGTTTGTTGAGTCAATTTTCCTCATTTAAATTAAATGAAATGGAATAAATCCATTGCAGTGGAATTCCAGGCACAACAAAATGTACCTCAATATTTCCCTAATATCATCTCTAACATATGACATAATAAACAATATAAATAACAGAAACCTGATACTGTATATACTCTAGAATGAATAAAATATGTCATTATGTGACAGATGGAGGCAGCCATAACTGCTCCCGCATTGTTGTGGTATTCACTGCCGTCCTTTCGAAGCCGTGTATTATAATTATTATAGTACATTATTATTATATATTATTATTGTATGTATATTATTACATTATTATTATTATACGTATTATTATTATTATGTATTATTATTCATTAGTAAGTACGTATTCTTAGGATAATTTATATTATATTATGTATATTATTATATTATTATTATTATTACTATATTTATTAGTAAGTATGTATATTCTTATAATAACACTCTTGTTTACCATTCGGAATTTCTATTCACACAAAAAATAGAAGATTTACAGTTATGCCGACTACTGCATTACTGTAATGCACGTAATTGTATAAATAATGTCAACCAATTCATGACTGTGTATCGGAATGGCCAGTTGGACAGGTAATGGACGGTGACGTCATTTGTTTACTCTTGAACATCGCCAGAGCCCCTCACCAGCAACAAGGAATCTCCCTTGAGGCCCGCTCGCACCTGGAAGCAAAAAATCAACCAAGAGACTGCTCGTATCTTGAAAAACTTGCATGTTGGGGTACTTGTAAGTAGAGGTTCCACTGTATGTATGTACATGTATGTATGTGCATGTATGTATATGTATGTATATGTATGTATGTATGTATGTATATGTATGTATGTATTATATATACATGTATATATATATATATATATATATTTATATATATATATATATGTATATATGCATTATATATATATATATATATATATATTATATATATATATATATATATATATATATATATATATATATATATATATATATATATATATATATACATGTATATACACATATATACATATATACACAGTGGACCCCCGGTTCGCGAAGTCATCGGTATCCGATAAATCCGGTATCCGAAGCATTATATCGCAAAAAATTGGCCTCGTTTCCCGTTACAAAACCCGGTATGCAATACGATTTGTGTGAGACGTGTCCACGTGTGGCCTGAACTGCCCCGTGTGTGCCAATGTTTACAAACCAGCCAGTGTGCGCACATCTAAGGAAACATTCGGTACATTCCATATTATCACTGTTTTTGGTGCTTGTTTCTGCAAAATAAGTCACCATGGGCCCCAAGAAATCTTCTAGTGCCAACCCTGTGGTAAAAAGGGTGAGAATTAGTATGGAAATTAAGAAAGATTTTGAAGGGTTTGGGGCTAACCCTGAGAATCCTATGCCAGTTGTGGAATCCATTGTGCCTACTTCAAAAATTAAGGAAATGTGTGCACATTGGGTTGAACTGCAAACCTTTATGGATGAAAATCACCCTAACACAGCTATTGCAAGCCGTGCTGGTGACTATTACACTGACAATGTTGTGAACCACTTTAGGAAAGTCATAAAGGAACGAGAGGTACAGGCCTCTATGGACAGATATGTGCGACAGAAGTCCAGTGACTCTCAAGCTGGTTCTAGTGGCATTAAAAGAAGAAGGGAAGTAACCCCAGAAAAGGACTTGCTACCTCAAGTCCTAATGGAGGGGGGTTCCCCTTCTAAACATTAAAAACTTCGACACTCTCCCCTCCCATCCCATCAATCATCACCAGATCTTCATTAAAGGTAAGTGTCAATTATTCTATTGTGATTATTCTATTGTATTAAACTTAATATTTCATGTGGTAAAAGTTTTTTTTTCATACTTTTGGGTGTCTTGCACGGGTTAATTTGATTTCCATTATTTCTTATGGGGAAAATTGATTCGCTTTCCGATAATTTTGTTTTACAATGAGCTCTCAGGAACGGATTAATAACGTGAACTGGGGGTCCACTGTATATATATATATAATATAATATATATATATTATATATATATATTATATATATATATATATATATATATATATATATATATATATATTATATATATATATATATATATATATATATATTATACACATAGCAGCATATGTGTAGAGAACCCAGGATAAAAAAAAATCAGACAAAGTGACTTATTTCCATTCGGGTCATTTACTTATCTCTGTATGTGATGAAGCCTGCAGCGTAGGTGAAAAATTTCGTCAATAAAGATTCCTAATACTGCACACGTGTCTTACTTATCAACTTGTCAATACTGTATACTATTTATATGGTAAAAGGAATAACCATAAGATGTTTCCTAAAGAGAAATCTTGTTGATTTTATGCATGCAGACATCTGGTGTTTGGAAGACACCAAAGGTTCGAATATCAGGAATGAGAAATTCCTGTCCTGCTGTGAAAATCAACTGGGTAGAATGGTAACGTTTTACTCAGGAAGAGTATTTAGATAACAGGTGTGCGGACGTGTTCTCCAAAGATTTACAGACTGAAAGAGGATACCCAAAGAACTGTGCAAAAGCAGCTGTAAGGAATTCATGGCTAATTTTGAAGCAGATGGGGAGGAATGGCAAGGTTTTACCAAGGAGATCCTTATAGACATCGTGTGTGCATGTGTGTGTTCTGGAAGACACCCAGAGTTCAAAAAACTCCTGTCATGATGACAGCCCACTAGAATAACCAACAAGGTCTTGCAATAGTAAAGATTTTTTAGAACTTAGATGGTCATGCATGCCCCTGACTGAACAAAGGATTTAAGGAAGCAACCAAAGGTTCAAAAGACACCAAGAAAATTACCTGTTGTGTTGCCAGACTATACCAAGTAGAAGGTCAAAGAGAAGTGTGTGGATGTCAGGTGTGTGTGAGAAAATCCCTGATAGAATAAAATTACTCGAAACACTTCTATTTTTGAAAGGGAAATGCTGAGAAGCCCACTGTGTAATCCTGAAGCCGAAAGAGGAATGGGAACCAAAATGCGCCACAAGGAGTCTTGTTAATGTGTTAATGCCCTGGTAATAACCCATGAATGAGAGCAGTCTGGTGAGCACAGTGATGTTTAACTTCTGTGTATGAGTTAGCTGCAAACCCTCAAGCACGAGTTCCGTGAAATCCAAGAGATCTATGCACCGAAAATGTCAAACCTTGTAGAGCCCAACTCACCTGCCACTCTTCCCTGTTTCGCCCACTAACGAGTTCAAAGCAGGAGACACCTATGGTACCTATGATTATTTCAAAGCAGTGGCCACCTACTGATGATCAGCTCGAAGCAGGAGCCACACATCTCTGCCGCAGCAACCAGTTCCAGCAGACAGCCCTTGAGTAGCTCATTGTGGATCAACTCGCTCAGGTGGCCACGGATGACATGCGACAGGGCCAACTGCGTCGCAATGGTGAGCGACGACACCACGATCGACATGTTCTGTGGGGATTGGTCATGTTAGAGTTTTCTGTAGTTTCTGTAGAGAACAGTCATGGTAACTTACGCTCTGTGGGGGATGAGTGACGTATTCTGTGGATGGGGAAATGAAGGCGTTAGTAACTTGTTCTGTGAGCGATGATGGGATTAGTAATGCGTGCTATACGGGATGATGACATTGGTGACGCGTTCTGTGGAGGATGATGGCACTGGTGATGCATCTGTGGTGGATGATGGCACTGGTGATGCGTTCTGTGGAGGATGATGGCACTGGTGATGCATCTGTGGTGGATGATGGCACTGGTGATGCATCTGTGGGGGATGATGGCACTGGTGATGCATCTGTGGGGGATGATGGCACTGGTGATGCATCTGTGGGGGATGATCGCACTGGTGATGCATCTGTGGGTGATGATGGCACTGGTGATGCATCTGTGGGGGATGATGGCACTGGTGATACATCTGTGGGGGATGATGGCACTGGTGATGCATCTGTGGGGGATGATGGCACTGGTGATGCATCTGTGGATGATGGCACTGGTGATGCATCTGTGGGGGATGATGGCACTGGTGATGCATCTGTGGGGGATGATGGCACTGGTGATGCATCTGTGGGGGATGATGGCACTGGTGATGCATCTGTGAGGGATAATGGCACTGGTGATGCATCTGTGGAGGATGATGGCATTGGTGATGCATCTGTGGGGGATGATGGCACTGGTGATGCATCTGTGGGGGATGATGGCACTGGTGATGCATCTGTGGGGGATGATGGCACTGGTGATGCATCTGTGGGGGATGATGGCACTGGTGATGCATCTGTGAGGGATGATGGCACTGGTGATGCATCTGTGGGGGATGATGGCACTGGTGATGCATCTGTGGGGGATGATGGCACTGGTGATGCATCTGTGGGGGATGATGGCACTGGTGATGCATCTGTGGGGGATGATGGCACTGGTGATGCATCTGTGGAGGAGGATGGTACTGGTGATGTATCTGTGGAGGATGATGGCACTGGTGATGCATCTGTGGTGGATGATGGCACTGGTGATGCATCTGTGGGGGATGATGGCACTGGTGATGCATCTGTGGAGGATGATGGTACTGGTGATGCATCTGTGGAGGACGATGGCACTGATGTATGTGGTGGATGATGGCACTGGTGATCTGTGGTGGATGATGGCACTGGTGATGTATCTGTGGTGGATGATGGCACTGGTGATGCATCTGTGGGGGATGATGGCACTGGTGATGCATCTGTGGTGGATGGCACTGGTGATGCATCTGTGGGAGATGATGGCACTGGTGATGCATCTGTGGGGGATGATGGCACTGGTGATGCATCTGTGGTGGATGATGGCACTGGTGATGCGTTCTGTGGGGGATGATGGCATTGGTGATGCGTTCTGTGGAGGATGATGGCACTAGTGATGCATCTGTGGTGGATGATGGCAATGGTGATGCATCTGTGGTGGATGATGGCAATGGTGATGCATCTGTGGTGGATGATAGCACTGGTGATGCATCTGTGATGGCACTGGTGATGCATCTGTGGTGGATGATGGCACTGGTGATGCATCTGTGGTGGATGATGGCACTGGTGATGCATCTGTGGGGGATGATGGCACTGGTGATGCATCTGTGGGGGATGATGGCACTGGTGATGCGTTCTGTGGAGGATGATGGCACTGGTGATGCGTTCTGTGGAGGATGATGGCATTGGTCATGCGTTCTGTGGGGAGGGTGGCATTAGTGATGCGCTCTGCGGGGGGTCACGGTGTTAGTGACGTGCTGTGAGAGGAATATGGTGTTAATGACGTGTGGGGGATGACGGTGCTAGTGACGTGTTGTGGGGGATGACGGTGCTACCTGGAGACCTGGAGTTTACCTGGAGAGGGTTTCAGGGGTCAACGCCTCCGCGGCTCGATCTGAGACCAGGCCTCGTGGTGGATCAGGGTCTGATCAACAAGGCTGTTACTGCCGGCCGCACGCAAACTGACGTACGAACCACAGCCCGATTAGTCAGGTACTGACTTTAGGTGCCTGTCCAGTGCCGTCTTGAAGACAGCCAGGGGTGTATTGGTAATCCCCCTTAAATATGCTGGGAGGCTGTTGAACAGTCTTGGGCCTCGGACACTTAATGTATTGTCTCTCAGTGTACTCCTGACACCCCTGCTTTTCATCGGGGGAATGTTGCATCTCCTGCCGAGTCTTTTGCTTTCACAGGGAGTGATTTTCGTGTGCAGGTTCGGTACCAATCCCTCCAGGACCTTCCAAGTGTATATTATCATGTATTTCTCTCGCCTGGGTTCGAGGGAATATAGATCAAGGACCTTCAACCGTTCCCAGTAATTGAGGTGCCTTATGGTACTTATGTGTGCTGTGAAATTTCTTTGTATGCTCTCCAGCTCTGCAATGTCGCAAACCTTGAAGGGGGCCGTTAGTGTACAGCAGTATTACGGCGCAGAGAGAACAAGCTATTTGAAGAGTGTCATCATGGGCTTGGCGTCCCTAGTTTTGAAGGTTCTCATTATCCATCCTATCATTTTCCTAGCCGATAAGGTAGATACATTGTTGTGGTCTTTGAAGGCGAGATCGTCTGACATTATCACTCCCAGGTCCTTCACATTTCTTTTTTCGCTCTATTGTATGGTTAGAATTTGTCGTATACCCTGATACATTTTTAATTTCCTCAAGTCTTCCATATCTGAGTAGTTGAACTTTCTCCTCGTTAAACTTCATATTGTTTTGAGTAGCCCATTTGAAGATTTGGTTGATGTCCGCTTGGAGTCTTGCAGTGTCTGCGATGGAGGTCACTGTCATGGAAATCCGGGTGTCATCCGCAAAAGAAGACACGGCTTACATCTCTGTGTCAGAAATGAGGATGAGGAATAGAATGGGAGTGAGCACTGTGCCTTGTGGAGCAGAGCTTTTCACTGTGGCTGCCTGGGACTTTACTCTGTTTACTATTTCTCTTTGTGTTCTATTGTCAGGAAGTTATAGATCCATCTACCAATTTTTCCTGCTATTCCTTTATCACGCATTTTGTGTGCTATTACACCGTTGTCACACTTGTCGAAACCTTTTGCAAAGTTTGTATATACTACATCTGTATTCTGTTTATCTTCAACAGCATCCAGGACCTTGTCATAGTGGTCCAGGAGCTGGGACAGGCAGGAGCGACCTGCTCTAAACCCGTGTTGCAATGGGTTGTGTAAGTGATGGGTATATAGGTGATTGGCGATCTTGCTTCTTAGAACCCTCTCAAAGATTTTTATGATATGGGATGTCAGTGCTATCGGTCTGTAGTTCTTTGCAATTGCTTTACTGTCACCTTTGTGGAGTGGGGCTATGTCTCTTGTTTTTAGTGTGTGTGGGATGACCCGTGTCCATGCTCCCTCTCCATAGAATGCTGAAGGCACGCGATAGGGGCTTCTTGCAATTCTCGATGAACACGGAGTTCCATAAGTCAGGGCTTGGGGCAGAGTTCATGGGCATGTCATGTACTGCCTTTTCAAAGTGTTGTGGAGTTAGGATAATATCCGAGATTTCTGAGATGACCAAATTTTGGGTTTCGTTCATAAAGAATTCATTTGGATTGTCGCGTTGTGGGGGATGACGGTGCTAGTGACGTGTTGGGGAGGATGACGGTGTTAGTGACGTGTTGGGGGGATGACGGTGCTATCGACGTGTTGGGGAGGATGACGGTGTTTGTGACGTGTTGGGGGATGACAGTGTTAGTGACGTGTTGGGGAGGATTTACGGTGTTTGTGACGTGTTGGGGGGATGACGGTGTTAGTGACGTGCTGGGGGGATGACGGTGTTTGTGAAGTGTTGGGGGGGGATGGCGGTGTTAGTGACGTGTTGGGGAGGATGACGGTGTTTGTGACGTGCTGGGGGGATGCCGGTGTTAGTGACGTGTAGGGGAGGATGACGGTGTTAGTGACGTGCTGGGGGGGAGGATGACGGTGTTATGACGTGCTGGGGGGGAGGATGACGGTGTTAGTGACGTGCTGGGGGGAGGATGACGGTGTTAGTGACGTGCTGGGGGGGAGGATGACGGTGTTAGTGACGTGCTGGGGGGGAGGATGACGGTGTTAGTGACGTGCTGGGGGGGAGGATGACGGTGTTAGTGACGTGCTGGAGGGGAGGATGACGGTGTTAGTGACGTCCTGGGGGAGGATGACGGTGTTAGTGACGTGCTGGGGGAGGATGACGGTGTTAGTGACGTGTGGGGGGGGAGGATGACGGTGTTAGTGACGTGCTGGGGGGGAGGATGACGGTGTTAGTGACGTGCTGGGGGGGAGGATGACGGTGTTAGTGACGTGCTGGGGGGAGGATGACGGTGTTAGTGACGTGCTGGGGGGGGGGATGACGGTGTTAGTGACGTGCTGGGGGGGAGGATGCGGTGTTAGTGACGTGCTGGGGGGGGAAGATGACGGTGTTAGTGACGTGCTGGGGGGGGAGATGACGGTGTTAGTGACGTGCTGGGGGGGGAGATGACGGTGTTAGTGACGTGCTGGGGGGGGGGAGATGACGGTGTTAGTGACGTGTGCTCTATGTTGATAAAAATTCTTCAGCAGGGAGATTATAACTAAAGGCAAGAGACAGAAAGAACAGATATGGGGAAGGAGGGGGTATTGGGGAGGGATACTGGGGGAAGGAGGGGTATAGGGATGGAAGGAGGGGGAATAGGGAGGGAAGGAATAGGGAGGGAAGGAGAAGGTATTGGGAGGGAAGAAGATATTGGGAGGGAAGGAGAAGGTATTAGGAGGGAAGGAGAAAGTATTGGGAGGGAAGGAGAAGGTATTGGGAGGGAAGGAGAAGGTATTGGGAGGGAAGGAGAAGGTATTGGGAGGGAAGGAGAAGGTATTGGGAGGGAAGGAGAAAATATTGGGAGGGAAGGAGAAGGTACTGGGAGGGAAGAAGAAGGTACTGGGAGGGAAGAAGAAGGTATTGGCAGGGAAGAAGAAGGTATTGGCAGGGAAGAAGAAGGTATT